GTATCTATTGATGTAGGGCAAGGCCATTGTCCATACATTCACTCACAGTCCACTATCACCGGTCTGGCAACGACAGACCATCTTTTGTCTCTATCCGCGTACGCGTAAACATATTATTCACACCAACAATAAGCCGCGATGGTTTGCGGAAAGTTGTTGAATATTCATAAGGGTCAGACAAATCCCAGCATGCAGAGCGTTATGCAGATTTGCACTTGCGCAGTTAGTTTTGTGGAGGTCATTCAGAATCAAAACAAACTAGCGATTGAAGGCATGTGGAAGTCTTACATAGTTCCATGATTACATCGAGTTCAACGATGTTAACGTTGACTGGGATTTTGTTTTGGAAGATGTCCGCTTTTCTGAAGACGATCTGACACAAGATACCACTGCCGATATTGTTTCTGACATTCAAAGTCAAGATGTCCCGATCACACATTCGTCTTGTGAAACCACCCACTCAGGAAATCCAAGACCGAATAACAGAAATGATCAACGAGTGTTTTATTCATGCCCGTCATGCGATAAAACTTTCAAAAGTGCTAGCGGATTTAGAGGACATACTAAGGTTATCCATGGTCAAAATCTAAAAGGTATTTTTTGATTCGTTCTTATATTTTCAATTGTTGGATATATGCGGGATTGTTGATTGCGTCACAGTGCTATTTGATACAGGAAGCATGTCGTTGCGTTAATGTCCGATGCGATGATAACATAAATATATTTAAAATGTTAAATTGACAATTACCAGTTTTTATTAGATGTCGACACTAAAAATCTCTTGGTTGAATACACATTTATATAGAATAGACTTATTTCTACAGTATGTGCAAGTAGTGAACGCGAGGAAGTAGCTTAGACGTGCGAGACACGAACTGCTGTCTGACAACAATATGCATCGTTTCCTGTGTTTGAAAGTTCCGTAACCAATTGTCATGTATCATAAAGGAGGAACACAACTTTTGTTTTATTTTTGCTTTTAGCATCTCAATATAAATCGACAAAAGACATGAACGCCGATCAGCAATGTGAAGATGTACCAGGTGACTAACATTGATATTATTTTTTCAATACATGTAATTAAATGAGTTAAACTTAATACTAAACAATTTCATATGATAACAATTCATTGCTTCATTTTTTTAGGTTCAAAACACAACCACTCCACCACCAAACAGTCAAAACCCAAGCCAGGTAAAGAATGCATTTTCTTGTTTTATCAGATTTGACCATTAAATAAATCTGCCAGAATTATTTGACCAATAAATTAATCTGCCAGAATTATTTGGCATGGACTATATAGTCTGCCAGATAATCACATGATAAAAATGAATTCAAACTGGGTAAGGAATATTAATGCTACACTGGGACATGATCCAATTAAAATAAAAAATGATCACAATATGAAAAGATATTTTAGCATTTTTTAATTTTGAATATGCACTTGCCCTTCACGCCAATTGATGTATGCATGGAATTTGTGTATTTTACCTATGATTTGTTTTCACCCATAATTCACTGTGCATCAAATGCTGATTTTGTGAAATTATTTTATAGGTTTCTCCAGGTCTGCTCCTGTCTATACAGAGCAGAATTTAAAAGACAATTTGGCAGAATTAGTTCATCTAGCACTAGTGGAAATGAGAGAAGATGACAATCTTAAGGTAAATGGAAGCGTCAATGGTCATGCAGTTGCTGCGATGGCACATCAAATCGCCAGTAAATTGGGGTCAGGATTTCTTTCTTTGCCAGAGAATCTGATAACTCAACTGTCCGCACAACTATGGGAAGCAGTGACGTCAGGAGATAAAGAGAAAACGTATTCAGCCTACAATGAACATGTTTGGACTGGGTTTTATAAAATTTTAATCAACAAAGCCATGACACAGTCTTTAATTAATTTTTGCAAAGTATGTTTTATTGATAATGCCCAACATGTACTGTTGTTTCAAACAGTAAGAGTGTTTTTACTGAATTTAGTCACCATATTAGGCTCAAACGAGACAGAACAGACACCTAGCGTGATGAACACACTGCTTTATTGAAGCCAATGAGTGCCGATGAAGAGAATGTTCTTCGCTACTTTTCCGGTTACATACCATACAAGTTAAGATTGAAATACTCTAGAGGCAAAAACAGCACAAGTCAAGCCTATGTCACAGTGATTGATGATATGAAAGATACTTGCCACAATAATGTATGTGAGAGTAAACAGTGGGTTCAAAAGCAAGATGGGGGTGA